GATTCTCCTGTGCCATTTTGATTCCCCCCTCTGATCATTTAAAGTGATCCCCCTTCCCCCACCTTGATACCCTAATTCCTTTTTTTTACCCCTAGAAATGAGCGCAAAAAGAAAAAGCTACTCTGTGGAGTATAAGAAAGGAATCGTGGAAGACTCTTGGGGCCAAAATCTTATTGCTTTCTGCAAAGAGAAGATGTTAAGTATCCAATTGGTCCGAAAATGGCGAGCAGAGTATGGTAACCTCATTGAACAAGTGGACAAGGGAAATGCTAAAAAGCGCAAGTGTGGATCAGGTCGGCAACCATTGTTTTCCCGAGCTGGAAGACCTGATCTGTGAATGGGTTGTTGACAGGAGAGCAGAGGCTTTGGTTGTGAATAGGGCTCAGATTCAAGAATTTGCCCTTGCAATGGCACAACAGTTTGACATAGCCCCCAAAGACTTCAAAGCATCACAACACTGACTGGATAATTTCCTTCAGCGAAGTGAACTGTCTTTAAGATTTACAACATTGTTTAGGTTGGAAGATACTCAAGTTATTAAGTGAGCACTTGCATTCAAGTCCTTTATTGATGATGCTGACTTTTCTAAATACAATCTTTCCAACATGATTGCTATGGATAAAACTGCAGTGTTTATGGGCCAATCATCTCAAACAACAATTGAACAGCGGGGTGCCTCCTTAGTGTACATTCCCTCCACTGCTTACGAAAGTGCACGTGTTTCCTGTATTTTGGCAATTTGTCTGGATGGCAATAAAATCCCACCTTTAATCATTTCTAAGGGCAAGAAGGAAAAGATTGAACATGTTTGGGCATTGTTATTCTTGAAACTGAAAAAGCCTGGGCCACACAAGCAGTTATAAGGAAGAGGGTCGATTTAATGCTGCCGCTTGTTATGTGAGGGAGCCAAAGAGGTCTGCTAGTCTGGGATGCAGCCAGCACTCACCACGCTAAAGACATGAAATCATTTATTCACGAAAGAAAAATAGATCAGATAATGATTCCCACAGGAATGATGGCCTATCTCCAGATTCTTGATATTGCAATAAACAAGCCATTCAAAGACAATTTGCGCATGGAAATTAATAACTACATTGAAAATAGAATGGAGAGAAATCAGCATGGAAACTCTGTGAAACCTAAACTGCAAGAAGTTGTGACTTGGATGAAGAATTCATGGGAGAAAATCACTGACAGTTGCAAATGCACTTCGAGCAGGCTACCTTGACAAGAAGTACTCATTTAAAGACAGTGCTATTGCTAAACATGAGAGATTTGGTCCACTGAATCTGAAAAAAATGGAGTCACAAGAAATTCACCAGGAAATTCAGGAATTGGATTGTTATGATGATGTTCCAGAAGATGATGACATAATTGTCATTGAATAAATGAGTAAATTCTTGATACTGTAGGATTCACAGTTTGTCTGGTTTGTGTTGACAACTATCATATACAGGTAATAAATTTCCTTTCTTTTCATTTAACAATAAATGTGTACCGTATTCTTTTCATGGAAAAATAAGATATCCCCTGAAAATAAGACCTAGTGCATCTTTGGAAGCAAAAATAATATAAGACACTGTCTTATTTTCGGGGAAACAGGGTAGCTTTGCTGGGTAGAGTATTTTTGGCTGTAGGTTCTTGTTTTTCATCACCTTGAATATTTCTTGCCATTCCCGTCTGGCCTGCATGGTTTCTGTTGAGAAATCAGCTGACAATCGTATGGGTGCTCCTTTATAGGTAACTACCTGTTTTTCTCTTGCTGCTTTTAGTATTCTCTCTTTGTCTTTTGCTCTTGGCATTTTATTTATTATTTTATTTTTTTAAAATATATTTTATTGATTTTGTACAGAGAGGAAGGGAGAGAGATAGAGAGTCAGAAACATCGATGAGAGAGAGTCATCGATCAGCTGCCTCTTGCACACCCCCTACTGGGGATATGTCCGCAACCAAGATACATGCCCTTGACTGGAATCGAACCTGGGACCTTTCAGTCCCCAAGCCGACGCTCTATCCATTGAGCCAAACCGGTCCCGGCTGCTCTTGGCATTTTAATTATGATGTGTCTTGGTGTGGTCCTCTTTAGATTCCTTTTGTTTGGGGTTCTGTGCGCTTCCTGGACTTGTAAGTCTATTTCTTTCACCAGGTGAGGGAAGTTTTTTTTTCACTATTTCTTTCAATGTGTTTTCGGTATCTTGCTCTGTCTTATCTTCTGAGACCACCATAATTCTGATGTTGGTTTGCTTGAAGTTGTCCCAGAGGTTTCTTACATTATCTTCAACTTTCTGGATTCTCTTGTCTTCTTGCTTCTATGGAGGAGTGTACTCTGGCTCTTTGTGTTCCAAATCTTTGACTTGATTCTTGTGACCTTCCATTCTGTTTTTAGGACTCTGTATAATATTTTTTATTTCAGACAATGTATTCTTTATTTCTAGTTGATCCCTTTTCATATCCTGATAGGCCTCATTTATTTTATCGGCCTTTTCTATGAAATTCTTGAAAAACCTTATAACTGTGGTTTTAAACTCTATATCCAGTCACTTTTTGTCCTCCATTTCTTTTGTTTGTGATCTGTTTTCTTGTCTCGGCATTTTTGCTGCTTCCCTGAGTTGGTAGGGTGGCTTTGTGTGTTAAGGTGTCCTATATGGTTCAGTGAATCAGCCTCCCAGTTATCTGAGGTGGACACTCTTGGTGCACCCCTTTGTGGACTGTGTGTACAGCCTTTTGTAGTTAAGTCTTAATTGTTGTTGGTATCACTGGGAGGAACTGACCTTCAGGCCAATTGGCTGTGAGGATCAGCTGTGTCTATGCACAAAAGCCTCTGTGCTCAGCTTGGATGGGGTGGAGTTTCAGGGTGGAGCCTTCAGCCTTGGCTTCCTGTCAGCTCCGCCCTATGAGGTTCCTGAGTCTCAGTGTTCCTCAGTGTCCTTTCGTACTCGGTGCTTTGGTACTTGCTGCAAGTACCTCTGAGAGAAAGGTGTCCTAGAGTTTTGCCCACTACCAGACAGTTTAGTCTCTCCCCCAATGAGCCTGGAACTGGGGTTCAGTGCAGTTGGAAGTGGGGTTCAGAGCAGTCCGGAGCTTTTGTCTCCTTCCCACTAGGGAAATCCAGTGGCACAGTCAACAGTCAGTCCTCTGCGCACGTGACTCCAGGGCTCTGCCTTTTGCCGCTCCCCTGAGTTTCCGCCTTACAGCCTAGAATTCCTCTGTACGAGCCTGAGACCCCAGAGTCTCTCCCAGAACCGGAGTTCAGTGCAGTCAGAATTGGGGTTCAGCACAGTCCGGAGCTTTTATCTCCTTCCAGCTAGGGAACGCCAACCATTCAGCCGCCCCTCCTCTCTGGCTCTGTCCTCTCCCCACGTGCGCACTGTGTCTCCATACCTTAGGCTTTTACAGCTCCTCTGATTTTCCTTCTATTTTTCTCTTTCCTCCTCGTTGTAGAATTTCCAGACAGTCAACTTTCCTGTAGTTCTGGGTAATGTCCACTTTATATTTTAGTTGTATGTTTTGAAATTGTTGTGTGAGGCTGCAGTTAGGCTTTTACCTATGCCACCATCTTAGTTTCTCTCTGGAACTACATTGTATATTTTTAATTTTTTAGAAATATATTTTTATTGATTTCAGAGAGGAAGGGAGAGGGGAAGAGAGAGAGAAACATCAATGATGAGAGAGAATCATGGATCCGCTGCCTCTTGCACTCCACTCACTGCATTCACTGGGGATCCTCAAGGTGCATCTTCTTTCTTTCCTTCCTTCCTTCACAACCCAGGCATATGCCCTGACCAGAATAGAAACTGGGATCTTTAGTCCTCAGGCCAATGCTCTAACCCACTGAGCCAAACCAGCCAGGGCAATACTTCACCTCTTGAAGACCTGCTCCATGACTCTTGCCCTTTAAGAAGACTATTGTCACAGGCCTGCAGACCAGCCCTGGGTGCCATGGAAACATGAGAATGTTTGGTTTCATTATCTCTGTTACTGCTTGGCAGAGGCTACCATTTGTACTTCTGAGACATCCTCCTCCTGCCTTTTTGTATTGCTTGGGTAATGATTGTACTTTATTTTCCCCCTGGTTAAGAAAGCCCTGAGATTTCTTGTGGGAGGGGGGAAGGGAGGGAGGCATCACTTTATTTAATCCTTTTATTTGCTCTGTGAACAGGTTAACTGCCATCAGTGGTCTTACAGGAGAGATGAACCCTAGCCACCATCTTGCCTTCCTTCCTTCCTTTTCTTCCACCCTTATCTCTTTTCTTCCTTCCTTTCTTCCTTCCTTCCTTCCTTCCTTCCTTCCTTCCTTCCTTCCTTCCTTCCTTCCTTCCTTCCTTCCTTCCTTCCTTCCTTTTATATAAGATTTGTCTTATAAAAATATATTTTTCTAGATTTTAGAGGTAGAGAAAGAGAGGGAAACATCAGCAATGAGAAATAATCATGGATTGGCTGCCTCCTGAACGCCCCACACTGGGGATCAAGTATACATCAGGGGGTATGTGCCCTGATAAGGAATCAAACCCTGACCTCTTGGGTTCGATGCTCAACCACACTGGCTGGGCTGTAGACAATCTTAATTGCGTCTTTCAACAAATGTCCAGAAGTAGAACTGACCATTTGAAAGTTTGTACATATTTTGATTGACTTTAGAGCCAGAGAGAAAAGGGAGAGAGAGAAACATCGATTTGGAGTACCACTGACTGATGCATTCATTGGTTGATTCTTGAATGTGCCCTGACCAGGGATTGAGCTCTGCAACCTGGGCCTGTTGGGAAGACACTCTAACCACTTAACTCTCCTGCAGGGTGAAAGTCTGTATACTTTAAGGCTTTCAGTAAGTCTTGCCTAAGGACCCTTTGCCAGCAGAGCATGGGGGTCAAGTGTCTCCATTCTGGAATATGGTATTTCCCTCTCCAATATAGCACCACTCACCCCCGGGGGGCAGGTCCAGGTCTTGGGTTCCACCCTCATGATGCCCTCTCTTGGTTTGCAGATCCCCTGGATACATAGCCATGGTCTTGTTCGACAAGGCCAATTGCCTGGCAGTGAGTTTCGCCCTCAACATCGTGGGATGGATCTTTGCCATGGTTTCCATGGGCCTGCCTAATTGGCGCACATGGTACATAGAAAGCAGCCCTGCCCCTTCCTGGGGGCTGGTCAGTGTAGGGATGTGGAAGGTCTGCTCTTACCAGCCCAGTGGCCTTCAGACCAGACCCATAGTGTGTCACCGCTACACCTACAGTGACACCTACCTGCCTCTGCATATCCGCTTCCCTCAACACCTGCTGCTGGTAGCCTTCCTCCTCAGTCTCCTGGGAAAAGGGCTCATGGTCTTGGCCCTGCGCAGAGTGTATATGGGACAGCTTCAGAAGGACACCCCCGGCAATCTGTTCCTCGCTCCCAGAATCCTGAGTATCATAGCTGGTGCATTTATCGCCATCGCTGTGCTCTGTAACTACCATGCTGTGCTGAATGAAGAGGGCATAGACTTCCCGCCCTCCTTCCACATCCCCTACAGACCCGACCGGCAGGAGATTGGCAGCACCGTGTATCTGGCGATTCTGGCTGCATTGCTGATGTTGTTCAGTGGGCTGTTTACCATCTCTTTCCAGCAGCCCCCCAATAGCCAAATGTACCCCCAGTCTCCCAAGTGTAAAGTTCCCAGTTGCATATCTTTGCAAATCCACGATGAGCAGTTTATGGAGGTGAAGTAATCGTGAAATAGATCCAAGGACTCATGACCATGACGAAGGTCATCTTTAACAGCAAGTGGTCATATTCTGCTATGTACAAATTGGGCTCATCGATCGGTTAAGGAACTTTCATTAAAAAATTTCCAAAGAAATCACTTTCCACCTGTCTTACTAAATCTGGCTTTTAATTATTATTGAGTAAACTAATAAACTGGTGCACGAAATTTGTGCCCACTAAAGGGATTAATTAGAAGAAATATTTTAATATTGTTATTTGCCCTTCTCTATAATAGAAGTGTCAGAGATGAAAGAAAATTAGTAAAATGTACATGAAAATCTTCCTTCTGTCACAGTCTGGGGCACACCATGGGGCCCAGAGTCAAGTCCCCACCCACCCATGTGCACCTCAAAATTGTGCCAGACCCAGACCCAGCTGGCCTTACCCCCAATTGGGTTAGATCCAGACCTGACTGGTCCCACTTTTGTGAAGCCCTGCCAGAATGGGGGTGAGGGTGCAGCGTCAGGTGCCCTGGCCTGGAGCTGGGGTGGGGGTCATGGCCTGAGGTCCCCCAATCTGGAGCAGGGCGAGGGTAGTGGCCTGAAGTCCCCTGTCAAGCTCTGCCAGGCAGGGGTGTGGCTTGAGGTCCCCCTTGAAACCTTGCTGGGTGGGAATACAGCCTGAGGCCCCCCAGCTTGGTGCCAGGTGGGGGGCATGGCCTGAGGCCCCCTGTCCAGTCCCACAGGGGCACAGCCTCAGGTCTTGCTGATTGCTCATTAAGACTCTTTACGGGAACTTGGCCTATGCTGTGGGTGCACCCATCTTGTGTATGGAAACCCTGCCTCCACTGTGGGTGCCGCCTTTGTGGTGGAGTCATGGTCAATTTGCATATTCCCTCTTTATCATATAGGATAATACTGCATGGAAATGAGAGTTGCTTGGATTCTCACAGCTCCCTCTCAACCTCCCACTAAAAACAACCGGCCTGAGCTTCCAGGGCATGGCCCTAACCCCTCTCTACCACATGCACTTCCCCAAATGTGCAAAAGCAGCAGAGCGGGAGGAATCCCCCTTCCATGACCACACTCAACAGTGACCGCACTTTTGCCACATTCGCTTTCTCTCTCCTTCCTTCTCTTCTTTTCCTCTAGTTTTCTTTCTCCGGAGAACTTTAACGCAAACCCCAGACATCACATTCCTTCATCCCTTTACACTTCAAGATCATTCTCCAAAAGAAGGACATTTCCTTGCCTAACCATAGTATACCTTTAAAGATAATTATTTCTTAGCAACATCAAATGAGTACCAGAGTTTTTAAATGCTTCAAAAGTAGTTCTACACTTTTATTTCTTCATTTTTGCAAAAGATGTTCCGTTTGCTCTTAAGTCTTTATTTTTTGTTAAGAGGGTGGAGCTCTATATATTTTTAAAAATTATTTTCATTGATTTCAGAATAGAAGGGAGAGGGAGAGCAAGATTGAAACATCAATGATGAGAGACAATCATTGATTGCGTGCCTCTTACATCCCCACTGGGATCAAGCCCCCAATCAGGAATCAAACCGGGACCTTCTGGTTCCTAGGTCGATGCTCAGCCACTGAGCTACACTGTCTAGGCTGAAATAAGTTTCTTCTCAAAGAAGATTTAAGTCTCTGAGAGCACAGTGTTTGAAAAAAATGTCCCCTGGGGCAAAAGTCGATGAGCTATTCAAATATGTGTTCCAAGGGCATTGCCTGTGACCCTAGAATGGTCAATGGCACTTTTGCCTCTGGGCTTGGAATCCCATCTGTGGGCAACGGACCCTTCCCTCTTCCCTCTGAGGGAGGGAGTGTGAAATGGTAGGAGCATTCTTTAGGAAATGTCCCTTCGCTGCCCGCCATGATTGGCACACTGTCCTTAGAACTGGGAGGAAGTCACAGCCTCTGCACTGAGAGAGACCATGGCTCCCTTCCCAGGGGTTTGAAAGGAGCCTCTGTGTCCCATGGGTTGGTCAGGGCTGGCCTTGGGTGGAGTCTTACCCATCTCCATGCAGCTCCAAGAAGGGCTGGGACATGGTTCCTGGTAAACACCTGTAGTCGGTCTCATTTTAAAAAAAATATTTATATTTTTTATTGATTTTACAGAGAGGAAGGGAGAGGGATAGGGAGTTAGAAACATATGTGAGAGAGAAACACCCATCAGCTTCATCCTGCATGCCTCCTACTGGGGATCGAGCCTGTAACCAAGGTACATGCCCTTGACCAGAGTCAAACCCAGGATCTTCACTCCATGGGGTGGCACTCTATCTGCTGAGCCAGGTTTGAAAGAGGGTGTGTGTTACTTAAGTGAGTCAATCCTCTGGTTATTTGAACAAAGAAGCTCCTGAGAGTCATGCTTCTGATGAGGACCTGTTTCTGGAACCTGATATCCTGCGGAGGAGGAAGGGAGAGCGAGTTAGAAAACTTCAATGGTGACAGAGATTCATGGATCAGCTGCCTCCTGCTCTCCTCCCACCCCCCACCCTCCCCCCCACACACACTGGGGATGGAGCCTGCAACCCAGGCATGTGCCCTGAACAGGAATTGAACTCTGACCTCCTGATTCATTGGTTGACACTCAAACACCAGGGCTTACTTGTGCAATCTAAAGCCAAATTGAATTCACCCGGGGCCTCCCACACCTCGGTTCCAGATTCTAAGAGGGACGCAGTGTCTCCTGGGCTCCAGCTTGGTTTCTGTTTGGAACCAGGCCAATTCCAGGCAGTTTCTGGACCAGTCCGGAAAGAGATGCTCAGATACGGCCTGCAAGCTCCTAACCTGGAGGCCAGGGCACTGGGATGCAGGACCCAGAGGGACTTGCCCGCATCTCCCATGGCAACGAGAAGGCCTGGCACTCCAGGGCCCAGCAGGTACCTGTGTCCTTGCTCCTTGTTCCTGAGGCTGTTGGGGGGAGAGGCTCCTTTGGGAACCTGTTGTGACGCCAGAGCTGCTGGCATATTAACAATGTTTATGGTTTATTTGCGCAAAAATGGATTCAGATTGGACAGCTTCAAGCCGGAAGTGGTTAGGAGGCCATGTTGACAGGAGTGAAGGAAAAGCAAAAAGTGTTCAAGAAGAAAAGGAAGGAAGGAGGGATTGGGACAGAGACAGCCAGCTGGCTGTTTGTGATTGGCTGTCCTTGGCATTTGGCTGTGGTAATATATACATTTTAAATGTTATTTTATTGTTTAAAGTATTACATAGAGTAGTATATAAGGCCGTGGTAATTTTGAGGCATTTCCAGGCTTAGATTTCGGTTTGCCTACGAGGCCCCTGGGACACTGGAGCGGCCTCAGGGCAGAACCCTCCTGGTTTAATTACAATGTGACAGTCTTCAGCTGAAGTTTATGTTTTGTTCTCTCTCATATTCTAGTTTTTGACAGGGGGAGGGGGATTAAAGGATGGAGAGCCATTGAATCTTCTTTTAATTTCATGCTTTTTATTGATTTCAGAGAGGAAGGGAAAGGGAAAGAGAGATAGAACCATCAATGATGAGAGAGAACCATTGATGGAGCCCACAACTCAGACATGTGCCTTTCACTGGAATCTAACCCGGACACTCTATCCACTGAGCAAAACTGGCCCAGGCTAATCTTTGATAACAAATGGTTATTTCCCATTGGAGGTCGCCACCTAGTGGAGAGCTGACCCGCAGTGGTCCCTTCTGCATAGCAAGGCGTCCACGTGGCAGGTCTAGTTACTTGCTTCCCCGTGGCCGCTGGTGGGGCCCCAATTTTGTTCAGGTGTTGCCCTCCCAAGCTCTGAGAAGGCAAGAGGTCAGGCCGGGGGAGATAAGGTCAGGCTAACACAGTAGGGCTGGCTTCTGAGTATACACCTGTAGAACTGTGAAAACCTGTGCCTCCCTGGCCTGTTTGGCTCAGTGGACAGAGCTTCAGCCTGCGGGCCAGAGTCCTGGGTTCAATTCAAGGGCACATACCTTGGTTGCAGGCTCCTGAGGGAGGCAACCAATCGATGAGTCTGTCACATCAATGCTCCTCTCTGTCTCTCCCTCTTCTTTCCACTCTCCCTAAAAACCAATGAAAAATTATCCTCAGGTGAGGATTCAAAACCAAACCAAACCAAACCTGTTGCTGAACATTAGAATTTTGGTTCCGCCATTTTGTTGTGGATCAGGGGGCAGGGCCGGGGGGAGGACACTTCCTCTCTTCCTCGAAAAGAGGTCCACGTGGTATAGACCATCCTGGTTCTCACTGGGCTTACAGCCTGCGTGGGAAGGCGGGAACTGCCATGACCACCCTGGCACCAGGAGGCCAGCCACCCCAGGCTGCTGAGGAGGAGGGCAAACCTTAGGGTGGATCACCCCCCCTGGGGCCTCGGTGTCTAAGATTTGGAACTCTCATTGTGTAGGCTCTGCCTAGTGTTTTGCAGGGTAAACTGAGGCAGGTACTTGCCAGGTTTCCTGTTCTATGGTCAAGAACATTCATGGCCAGGCCTAGCTGGTTTGGCTCAGTGGATAGATCATTGGCCTGTGGACCAAAGGGTCCTGGGTTTTGTTCTGGTCCCGGACAAGTATCTTAGTTGCAGCTCCTCCCTGGCCTGAGCCCTAGTAGGGGCTCATGCAGGAGGAAGCCAATCCATCTGTTTGTCTCACATCGATGTTTCTCTCTGTCTTTTCCTCTCTCTTCCACTCTCCCTAAAATCAACGGAAAAGCATCCTCGGGTGAGGATTGAAAAAAAAGAAAAAAAAGGAAAAAAAAAGAATGTTCCCGGCCTACTCACGGCCTAATCTCGGCCTACACACAGCATGTAATTAGGCTGCGATGAGCTCAGGGCTGTGGGCACGGCTCCTTAACCTCTCCTCCCACCCGGTACTTAGCCAGGGGCGGCGGGAGCTTGTGAAGGTGGTGTGGGTGATGTTTACATCCCTTGGCAAGTCTGAGGGAAAGCTTCGGCATTGGATTGGTCCCCAGTGACAAAGCCAAAGTAACTTTTGGTTCTCAGCCTTCTTAGCCAACACACAGTGCTCACAGCTAAGACTTACTGCGC